TCAACAGAATCATTCATACATATTTATAAGTCTACTGTTAGTCCATTCTTTGAATATTGCTACCACAAAGAAAGAACAGTCAGATTAAAAACCTTTTCGGACATTCAGGCCGGTAAATGTCGTTAATACTGTTTTTTATAAACAGAGCATTTACTTAAATATTTGTATCTATAAAAAAAGAATGTATAAACATAAAATGTCCTAAAATAATTGATTCTATGCAGTTGCTCCATTTCACGTCAATGGAAAACTTGGGTCCAAAAAAAACGTAGAGTGTTTCTCTCCTGGATTTGAGCATTAGTCATGTTGATGACATGCAGAAAAGTTTCTCTGTGGCAATTAAATGAAAGCGGTTTTGTTTTGGAGACGTTAAAAATTTACAAGCCATTTCTTGCCCCATTTAACTATTAGTTGTCCTTTTCGGGAGCAGTTGCCAGTTCTGCTTTGTCGAATCTGTCAGACTTGCTACTAAAACATGACTAAATAGTTTTGTCATTTGCACAAACACCTATTTGGGAACTGATGATATCGGGAAGGTCGTTGACGAAGATTAGAAACAGCATTGGTCCAAGGAATGAACCCTGAGAGACACCCTTATTAGCATGAAATGATCTGGATGAGTGCCCGTTCAACATTATCTTCATTACAGGATTTGTCAGGAACGATTGGATTATGCTAAATATTCGTTTATAAATTTATTTATCCGTCTTTCCTTTATTTAAGATTAATTATTAACTTCAAATGTTTGTACATGTACTTCCAAAAAAAGCATAGAAAAATAAATTTAAATTTTTAAAGATTTTAAAAAAGCTTAGAAATTTCAGAGAATTAAAAAATAGCCAGGTATTAGTAGAGTTTTAAACTTGACATTTGTAAATACCAACCAAATAACCTCATCACTTGACAGTGCATACATATTATAAGCAGGACGCCTTCTTCTAAATCTATAGAAATTTAATAATTTTGTATTCTGACAAGGAAAGTCTAAAGAATGTTAATGTACAAAAATTATTTCCAAAATTTTTTTTTTACATCCTGTAGACTCTAATCAATTTAATTAATGCCAAATGCGGAATATGACAATGGCGACTTTAGTCGTCATTATAGGCTTCCTTGAAAGATAGGAAGAACGAAAGAGAGAAAACAAAATAACGAAAAAGAAAGAAGAATAAAGGAAAAAGAAGAAAAAAAAATTAAGGAAAAAGAAAGAAAGAAAGAAAGAAAGAATAAGGAAAACGAAAACAGACGAGTTAAAGAAAGAAAGAAAGAAAGAAAGAAAGAAAGAAAGAAAGGAAGAAATTAAAGGGAATGTAGGAAAATTAAGGAAAAGAAGGAAAGAAAGATTAAAGCGAAAGATGGAAAATTAAGGAAAAGAAAGAGGGGAAAATTAAAGAGAAAGAAAGAAAGAAAGAAAAGAAAGAAAGAAAGAAAGAAAGAAAGAAAGAAAGGAAAGAAGAGAAAGAATGAAGAGAGAAGAATTAAGGAAAAACAAAGAAAGAAAGAAAGAAAGAAAGAAAGAAAGAAAAGGAAAAATTAAGGAGGAAGAAAGAAAAACCATATAAGCGATGATAATGAGAAAAAAAAATGAATATTTTTCATTGAATTGGGTTTTTTTTTTTTTTTGCTTTTTTTAGTCGCTGTTATTTTATTTTCTCTTTTTTAAAATCTCTTTTTATCTTCGCACTGATTTCTCAGTTACATTTCTTCTCTTTTTAGGATAAAATGTCCCGATTCTGCCAACACTTCCTGGTTGTGTTGATTATAAGCAGCATCAGCCAAGGTAAGATGTTTATTTCGAACCTGTTACGACATAAAACAAACATCAAAGCTCACTTCGCCTCTTTCCTCGCCGCCTTTCATTCTCTCCCCATCTCTTTCTCTACCTCCCTCCATCCCTCCCTCTCGCTCTTTACCATTTGTGCACTTTTTCCTTGAAAATCACAAATATGTCGCTTCACTATCATACAATATTTAACACGCTAGTGCCTACTGAAATAAGTTCGATCATCACTCACTCTATGCCCTAAAATTATCACTTTATCATATACCAGACTAGACTAAGCAAATACACGTAAAGGCTCTCTTAATCTTCGCTTCCTCGAATAAACATCTTCTTTTCTTTCTCCATCTTTTTCTGCCAATATGATCCTCTCGATGACACAAAGTTTCGGCATACTTGAACCATAACACCAGTCTCCAACTATGCGTCGCTAACAATGACTTTAATTTCACTCACCAAAATTGAGCGCACTCGATCTCAGCCTTCGACGATACCCAGCCGAACAGAAGTGACAGCAGGTGATCTCACAAGAGTAGTCGTCATTCAACTATCCAACAGATTATTCTATCCTGGCATCAAGCGAAATGGGAGATAACTGAAAATAGGAAGATATTGATGCGCCAGTTGTTGACGGGAGGAACGATCTGCTAGTCTTAAATGTTAGAATAGTAATTTAGTTTGAATCTACATCTATGAATCCAGCTGTGGCTAGATAGCAGGGTAGTTAGAGACATTTTTTTTACCCTACTCTGCGATTTCTCATCACCAGACGTTATCCATTACACCATCTACACATCCTTCTTTTTTGCCGACGTAATATTTTGTAAATGAATGCAAAACTCAACGATATAAGACAATTTCGATGTTCTCTTAACTCTCATCTTTCAACGCTATCAACAGAACACAATAAATATAAGAAAGCTACATGTCGGGGGATTTATGTTTTAATCCAATAATCAGTTATTCTTAAAGTTAAAAAAAAAAAACAATTTTAATAATCTCTTCCCCCCCCCATAAAACTTATACTGATATTTATGCGAAAACAATTTCTAATACAATATGTTTTCGACGTTTGGCCAATAATTTTTTATATAATGTAAGTATAGCAAAGACGTATGACTAAACATGTTAAATGAACATTTTGTTTCGAAATTCATGAAGAATTTATAAAAGTACACAATTTACAAAACTTATTTTAGGTGCAGGAAAATATTCTAGTTCCCTCGATTTTGAAAACTGAAGACTAACAAAGAACCAGAGCAAAAAAAAGATTTAAAATTTTCGAAAGAAGATTTTGCACGCGTGAAATAATTTTGGTCTAGGGAGGTCATCGTATAACAGATTGACTGCCTATCAGTTTGTTTCTTCAGTAAATCAGTTTTATTTATATCAACATTTTTAAAAGTACAGTAAAGATGAAAATTTCTGAATACAATGTTTATAAGGGACTTGTAATGATCTCTAACGAATGATCTGTATCGAATATTTATAAGGGACAAGTAATGATCTCTATCGAATGCTTATAAGGGACAAGTAATGATCTCTATTGATTTCTATCGAATGCTTATAAGAGACAAGTAATGATCTCTATCGAATGCTTATAAGGGACAAGTAATGATCTCTATCGAATGCTTATAAGGAACAAGTAATAATATCTATTGATCTGTATCGAATGCTTATAAGGGACAAGTAATGATCTCTATGGATTTCTATCGAATGCTTATAAGGGACAAGTAATGATCTCTATTGATTTCTATCGAATGCTTATAAGAGACAAGTAATGATCTATATTGATTTCTATTGAATGATCTTATCGAAGCTTATAGACAAGTAATGATCTCTATCGAATGCTTATAAAGACAAGTAATGATCTAATGATCTCTATTGAATTTATATCAAGTAATGCTTATAATGAGAACAAGTAATGATCTCTATTGATTTCTATCGAATGCTTATAAGAGACAAGTAATGATCTCTATCGAATGCTTATAAGGGACAAGTAATGATCTCTATCGAATGCTTATAAGGAACAAGTAATAATATCTATTGATCTGTATCGAATGCTTATAAGGGACAAGTAATGATCTCTATGGATTTCTCGAATGGATTTCTATCGAATGCTTATAAGAACAAGTAATAATATCAAGAATGCTTAAGGGACAAGTAATGATCTCTATGGATTTCTATCGAATGCTTATAAGGGACAAGTAATGATCTCTATCGAATGCTTATAAGGAACAAGTAATAATATCTATTGATCTGTATCGAATGCTTATAAGGGACAAGTAATGATCTCTATTGATTTCTATCGAATGCTTATAAGAGACAAGTAATGATCTATATTGATTTCTATTGAATGCTTATAAGAGACAAGTAATGATCTCTATCGAATGCTTATAAGGGACAAGTAATGATATCTATTGATTGCTATCGAATGCTTATAAGGGACATGTAATGATATCTATTGATTTTTATAAGGGACAAGTAATGATCTCTATCGAATGCTTATAAGGGACAAGTAATGATCTTCATCAAATGCTTATAAAGGACAGGTAATGATATCTATCGAATGCTTATAAGGGACAAGTAATGATCTATATCGAATGTTTATAAGGGACAAGTAATGATCTCTATCGAATGATCTCTATCGAATGATGACTTGTTTAGGAAATCTCATCTTCTTTGTTTTTTTCACATATCATCCATTCTGATCTGATCTCTGGTTTTTGATTAAGTGACACATTTTTTACTCATATTTGATAGCTCCTCTTTCCAGGTATTATTTCTGAGGGACTGACCAACAAGAACGTTTCTCATCATCATTTTGACAATCAAAACTGGACGAAGACTCACTTAATTTTTGATTTTATATGTTAAATATTTCTTGAAAAATAACGCGAATTCTTCCTTAAATTTATGGTTATATATATATATATATATATATATATATATATTCATTTTATTCATTTATCGCTTAGTAAATATTTATGAGAACCAATATTATAGTCGCCTACCGTAGAGAAAGCAATTTTCTTAGTCGTTTGAGAGAATATCGAAATTGATTGGTTCATTTAAATATTGACGTGTTAGCTGAGTAACATACTGTCAAAGTGATGGCCTTGAACTTTTAAAGGCTAATAAAAGTGCGGGGGAGGCGAGAACATAGTGGACTGATGCCGACCGGAAACGAGAGTGATGATTGGAAAATGCTGAAGGGCGCATGCAGGACGACGTATGTTTGATTGAAGGCAAACTTGACCTCGACAACTTCCGGTATGACAACAAGCTATCCATCGTAAAGATGCTTCCGACGCTTATGTGACAATGAGTTTTCACCAGAAGCTGTGAAGCCATACATTCATTACAAGGTTGTTTCTATATAACAGCTGAAGATAATAGCGATATTTGAACCTCAATAACCTCTTTATTAATTTATTGTTTTTGCTAGTTTTGTTTTTGTTTTTTTTCTTGTTTGCTTCATGAGTTGCTTGTCATAAACACAAGGAATTCTCAGGAACCATTTGAAATGGTCAAGCGAAAACAAGCGTTGGTTTACGGCAAGGTTTACGGTAAAGGTCGGCAACCTACTGCTCGCGGGCCGGATCCGGCCCGCGAAGGCATTTTGACCGGCCCGCGAGCCTGATTACCAATGACTCTATTTTTAACATGAGAGACGAGGCTTTCGAATCAGACTATTTGCCAGTTATCTTTCATGAGACTTATTTTACCAAGTTGCGTTGCCTACGCTTAATGTCAAATAATGGCTACATATATGTTATGACCCTTGGCTACATTAAAAGATAACAGATGCGAAAGGAACGATAAAGTGAAAGAGGCCAGGGAGGGACTGACATGCAAGGTAGCAGAAATCTAAAGACAGTTAAACATATGCGCATTATACATACATGTCTCATGAATGTGTGGATGATACCGCATGTGTACGTACGTAAGTGTATATGTTTGCAACTATTTGTACTCGTATGTATGGGTATATGTGTTTCGTTTTTGTTTGATGTGTGTGTGTGTGCGTGTGTGTGGTTCGTTTGTGGAACAATTTTCAATAACAGTTTCAAACCTACACTTCATAATTTCATCCATTTTTACTTCGGTTGATTTTTTTTTCACTTTGAAGTATTTTGTCGTTCCTTGAGGAAAAGTATTTTTGTTAGGTGTTTTTTTAATCTTAGATTTTCTTTTGTTTTTCTGATTTCTCAATGTTTATTTTCATTATGGTTTTAAATATTTAGGTTGTCAGGGGGTCTCCATATGTAATTTTCCTTAATTTTTCATTAATGGCCTTCGTCCGGCCCGTGACCCGTCATTATAACACGATCCGGCCTGCGGGGTCGAATGAGTTGCCAACCCCTGGTTTACGGTTTTCGTTCAACTTCGATCTCTAAAACGGACGATTTATTGATTAATGATTCTAACAGGGGCTCAAGGGAACGTAACTTTCAGCATTCCTCATCGAATCGTGAAATAAAAGTCGTCCTTAAACGGCCACTCTTCTAGATCTTTTTGGGCCTACGGTGTTTCTACTTTTCATCAACGACCCTCCTGATGTCATCAGTTCTCAACTTGGCATCTATATCTGATGACTCAGCCATTTACTCTTGTCTTGATCGTAAGTCCGATCGGTTAGATATGGTCAATTTGGCAGCTGATCTAAAAAAAAAAACTACTTTCTATTGTTAACTGGGGCAAGAAATGGCTTGTTAATTTTTAACACCTCCAAAACAAAACTACTCTCTTTTAAGAGATGCCTTTTGCCTTCCATCACCATGGCAGATGCTAACCTCCAGGAGAGTAAACCATTGCAGCTTCCCGGCCTAACATTTTCCGCTGACATGAAGTGGAAAGATTATACTGAATCAATTGCTAGGTCTTCTGCTAGGAAAGTTGGTTCACTGTGTCATGCTAGACAATTTTTCTCTCACCAGAATCTTACATAAGTCTGTCATTCGTTCTTGCTTTGAATATTTCTGCTACATCTGGTCTGATGCTCCTGCTATATATTTAAAGATTTTTGATAAAACTGAAAGAAGAATCTACAATGTTACTGATCCTGACCTGTCATCTCGACTTCAGTCACACTTCCACCGTAATATTGCTTACCCGTGTCTTTTCTATAAATAATTTCATGGTAATTGTTCTGGTGAACGTTCGTTTATGGTGGTAGCTAGACTTTATGAATTTAAGCGCAGTACTAGGTTGGCGGCAAGGTCTCATTATTTTGCACTTGAAATGGCTCGATATAACCGTAAGTTCTAAATTAACAGTTTCTTTTCACACGTTTTTTTGTTTGTGGAACTCTCTTTCGGCTCCTTGCTCTCCGGTCTATTTTGATCTTTAAAAAATGAAATGCAATGTCAATCGTTACTTACTGCCTTTTACTGTTCTCTCCCCTTCAATAGTTTTTTTTTGCTTTTTCATATCCTCTAGCACTCAGTAACCTTGCGTCTTAGTGGTTTTATGGTCTTGCTTGGGGTGAAGTGATTAAAAAAATGTTAATTTTTAGTCCAATATTTCTTGTTTTTTCATCATGGTACTTGTCTTGTTTCGGAATTATGAGCAATAGGAATTAGAAAGAAATAGCATCACGCGAACAACAACAACAACAACAACAACAACAGCAGCAGCAGCAGCAACAACAACAACAATAATAATAAACAGATTGGACCAATATCTGTGCTGGAAAATCTGCAACATTTACGGAAAGGAAACTGCAAGAAATTGGTAACTCCACCCGGACCCGGTTACGGAAATGGGACCTGTAACAATTTTATGGGATTTTACAAAACACACAGACAGAGCAATCATGGCTAATCGCCCTGACATCATGATTAGAGATTGCAAAGACAAAATGTGCTTCCTTATTGACCTGGAAGTCCCTGCAGACTGCAATGTATCTTTGAAGATCTTCAAAAAAATCTATCAAAATACAATGACCTTGAAATCGAAATTTCCAAAATGTGGCTTATGATGACATTAACAATTCCAGTTGTAGTTGGAGCCCTCGGATTGATTGGAAAAATTTCAATAGGCTCATTGAAGGAATCCCTGGTAGCGCATGCCTTGGGGAGATACAAAAAATTGTACTCGCAAGTACAACACCTTATGAAAAGATTTATTTATGTAAAATATGTGATTTGTTTCAAAACTGCTCAGAGGAAAATTTCATGATGTCATTTCTAACCTTGGGTCTCTGGTGGGCACCTGGAAAGAAATGTGTATATACCATAGAAAATAAAATAATAATAATTATTATAATTATTATTATTATTATAGTTCTTTTTTATCAAAGACAGAAAAGAAAAAGTTTGCACGACGATTCATATGATCGTACAAAATGCCAAAGATATCTCTACAAAGATTTTTGAAAGACTCAGCAAATACAAAATCTTGAAAATGGAAATAGAAAAATGTGATACTTAAAAACTAAAACTGTTCCTGTTGTGGTTGGAGCTCTGGGTCTGATAAAGAAAGGAACTCAACAACAAAATCTCTGGTGCTCTATCTCTCCAGGAAATCCAAGCAAAGCTCATATCCTGCAAATAGCTTTGTCCATTTAAGTTTTTTGTTAATAACAGTATTTTTTTAATTAAGAAGAAACAGAAATAAATTACACTGTTCGTTTGCTCTAGGCCATTGGTTGTGACCCGGTGTCAGATTATGAAACACATTCTGGTAAAAAAAAGAAACTTTCTAAAAATAATAATACTATCAAAGATTTGGTTCCTTCATACAAGTCTTTTTTCTTAATCCATGCACAGGTTTTCATTTTATTAAAATCCACTTTTATGCTTCCTATACATATCCCTAAGAAATTGCCCCATGCATTACTTTTTTCCTTCCTAGCTCCTATTGTGACATTGTCACGATAATTGTTAGCCATACTGATGTAGGGGCGCGATTCTATATCCATTTTTTCTACGACTGGTGATCGTCGTAAGGACTCAAAAGGGGTGTTTGGCAACCATTCTCGTGTCGGTTACATTGTCACGTTTGATCCCACGGTTTTCTTGGGACCAACATACTAAATTTGTCCGATCTCTGCTTTTTACCGAAAATCAAATATCTTTTCAAAGAGAGAAATGTTTTTTCTCGTTGTGTTCAACAGCGCAACGCATATAGTCTGAACTAGCTGCTTTTAATTCCCTTATATAGAAAGAGAGTGATTGAAAGAGAGACATTCATAATTTTAGTGCTCGCTCATTCCTAGCAGTTTCAGACCCGCGTGTTTGATAAGAAGCAGAATTTACCACTGAAAATATTTTAGGGAGAATCGTCGTCTCCTCGCTAATTCATTATGTCCAGTCTTTTAACCTTCGAATAAAAAGCTACTGAAACCCGCTACATGTAATTTAATAAATGAAACGTTTTTCTTCATTCTCTTATCCTTTTGTTTTTTGCGTGTTTGATGACAGATGCCGATCTCCGAATTGGAACTACAACCTTATCGTAATATCATATTTACATCCTTTATCGTAACCAGTTAACTGTACGCTGACAATATTCTGATGACTTGGATAACTGTTTTCGGTTCTGTATCATTTATTTGGTCATTTTTCTTCTAGTGATGATTATCGCACATTAGTGAAACTTCTGAACCCCAGTCGATCAAATATTTATATATAATATTTCAGAAATACTATATATTTCAAGCAACTGCTTGGTCTCACGCTGTCCGCTGACTTAAGATGGAACAAATATATTGAATCAACAGCTTCATCTACCGCAAGGAAAGTTGGTTCTCCGTGTCACACCAGAAGGTTTTTCTCGCTTGAGTTCATCCTTCAAATCTTTAAATCAACCATTTTGTTTATTTTGGAAAATTAATTGTCATATATGGTCGTGAACCCCCTGTGCGTCTCAAGGTCCTCGACAAAATCCAAAGACGGATATGCAATGTGGTTGGTCCTGTTCTGGCATCTCTTTCACAGTCACTTTCTCACAGACGCGCCGTCGTTTACCCAACAAAAGGAAATTGGAAGGCCTGATGCTCAACTCCACAAGAGCGCCTCTCCACGCCTGCTTGGTCTCACGCTGTCCACTGGCCCGAGATGGAACAAATACATTGAATCAATAGCTTCATCTACGCAAGTTGGTTCTCTGTGTCACACCAGAAAGTTTTTTCTCGCTTGAGTCCATCATTCAAATCTATAAATCAACCATTCGCCCTTGCATGGAATACTGCTGTCATATATGTTCTGGAACCCCCGCTGTTCGTCTCAAGGTCCTCGACAAAATCCAAAGACGGATATGCAATGTGGTTGGTCTTGGTCTGGCATCTCGTCTGCCGTTGCTTCTCTATGTCTTTTCTACAAATACTTTCACGGTAACTGCTCCGCTGAGCTATTTTCGCTGATTCCCAAACTGCAAGAATTTAAGCGTATTACTAGGGTGGCATCTCAGTTCCATCCTTTTACTGTCGAAACGGTTAAATGTAGCCGTCTCTTCTACTCCAATAGCTTCATGCCTCGCACTTCCTGTCTGTGAGACTCTGTTCCTCTTACTTGCTTCCCTGACAGTTATAGTTTTCAAATATTCAAATATAATATCAATCGACATCTTCTGATGCCTTGATCTAATTTTCCGTCCTTGTCTTTATCCTTTCCTCAATCACGTCTCTTTACTCTTGCTCCCACTCTCTGTAACCCCTTTGCGTGCTAGTGGCACTCCCGCCTTGCTTGGGGTGAAATTCTTGAAAAAAAACTCGTGTGAGCCGTTTGGTAGTTGGGAGATTTGTTTTATTTTCCAACTAGTTACAAGTAAATCCATTTCTTTTTTCATTTCTAACCAGGTCTGCAACTTTTTATCTTTGCTTCATAAAGATAAAGTTGCACTGATTTCCTTTCTCGATTTTCTTCTTAAACTCTCCTTTAGTGACATAACTTGCTGTTTCTATTGTTACGAACTTGTAGCATATAGGTGAACGACGGGTTAAAAAAAAATGGTAAACGTAGGATCTTTTCTCGGTCTTCATTCATGGATGGAAGCGACACAAGGGAGTCAGTGAAAAACAGACGCAAGACGATGGATTTCAAAATAAAACATTTAGAAATAAATAAATGCAGAAACAGGTAAAGAATATATAAAAGAAAATTTGTTTAACAAAGGGAAAGGGATCATGAAAGAACAGGGTACGAGTGAATTTATATATATATATATATATATATATATATATATATATATATATATATATGAGGCACGGTGGAGTAATTGATAGCAGCGTGGATTGAGGAATCGGAGAGCCGAGTTAGAATTCCAGCCGAATCCATTACATTCACTTACGTGGTAATACCCTTGGGAAAGGTGTGAATCCTCTTCTTCTCCCTTCAGCTATGGCTAAATAGCAGGACAGACTGGGTTCTATAGCTTGGATGGCAACCGGTCTAGGAGAAGGACAACTCTGAATTCAAAACCTACGGAGGGTCTTTTGGGGAACTTGTGGCACGTAGTGCACCAGGTTTCTGTATTCGACCCTTCAAAAAGTGTAGTTGGTTCGCTTGAAACCCACGTAAAAACTCGGCCTTGTGCCATATGCAACCCCCTCGTGGGGGGCTAGATACCGAATCGAGTCGAGCCGATAGTAGTTCTCCAAACTAGACTTTGACAGGTCATATCTAACACCTTCCACATCTTGTATTATTATTTCTGTGACTGGCAATGGAATCGGAACAATTCGTTCGTTATTTGCTACTGATCAGACTCTTTTTTGATTGTTCGTGAGGTTCTTCCTTGGTCCTTTGAACCTGGATCGGAAATCAAGTAACCATTCAAGTTCGAATATTAAGGGTCTGAAATCGCACAAGTTGGAGAGAACAGAAAATTGGCATGACCAAAAAAACCTACAGTAGTGGTAAATGAGAGTGTAAAGCTGCTCTGGGACTTAACCTTGTAATGTGATAATGTCATTGAACCAAGACGACTAGACAACGTCACTGTCCAGAAGAAAGACAATGTTGGATCATCGATTTCGATGATACCAGCACACACGTTGTCGACGCCTCTTATGTGCGGAATATAACGCATTCTTGTACGTTGAGAAAGAAAAGTGTCAAGATTTTAAATAAGAAATAGCATGCATATGTGAAGCTTCAGTCAGTCACTCATGTGCCATGCATGATTCTCCTAGACCAATCTGGAAATTGCTGAAGAAGAAAATTTATACCTTTCCCAAAGTAATTTTTGACTGTCGTAAGTAGAATGTTAATGGATTTCGACAGAATTCAAACTCGTAGTACTTCCTCTCATCGTAAATTCCTCAATCCGAGACTGCGGCTTCTGCTATTTTGTATTAAAATAGATACATATATATATATATATATATCTGAATCGATTTAACGGAAGTCAATTTGATACCACCCTAAGTTTTATTCTATCCCAAAGATAGGATGTGTGCGCGGTGTAATTGATATCAGGGAACTGATCTAAATGAGAAAATATCTTTCAATTCTTCTTAAAAAGCGCGGAAGAAAAAAATACGGAATACCAGTCGAGTTTATTTTTTTTGTGATATAAGCTCGTTATACACGTTTAGATCGATCATGTATCTTTCGATACATGACTGACGAACAGATCCTGTTTTTTTCGGGCATTTTTTGGCCGAGCCTACGAGGTTGCCAACCCTCGTTTTTTTCTGCGGTAGACCAGTTGCCATCTAAGGTAATATAAACCTTGGTCTATACTGCTATTTACCAATAGCTGAGTGGTGGGGGAGAACAGGATCCATACCAAGACGACTAGACAACGTTTCCCAAAGGTATTAGCATGTAAGTGAATGTAATGGATTCGACTGGAATTCAGAACTCGGATCTTCAATCCTATTTCGCTGGGGAGAAGAAGAAAATCCATTATTTCCACCGTAAAATGTAAAAAAGTGTCCCTCAATCTATTTATTGCTATTTTTGTCGTCCTTAGAATGGATGGAGAAAATCCCAAAATTGTTGGGTAAAACTGAGACTGTGATTCAAACAGAGATGCTTCATAAAACAGCACTGACTGGAGCAACCGGAAGTTTGAAAAGAGTTTTATCGATTTAGAGAGTTGAAGAAGTGACTGACCCATGTTCATTTGTTATGACCCACTCCTGTTCTTAGAATTTAAATTAAAACTGAGCATTGAGACCTGCCTGGAGCGGAAGTTTGAAAAAGAAAGAAAGAAAGATAATAATAATAATAATAATAATAATAATAATAATAATAATAATAATAATGTCATATTAAGCGTAGAAACAAGAAGAAACGACAGAGGTTTAAGAAATAAATAATTATATTAACAAAAAATACAACGAATGGTGAAGTGGTGTGAAAAATCTTTCCTTGAAATAAAGAGATAAGTAAAACCGTCCACAGAGGCTTACGTTAGGAGAGGGAGGGTGAATCGTGACTTACTTCGGCGACGGGTTTTGGCCAGTTGTCCTTGGAGATGAGAGGTCAGTTGTCTTTGAGTGTGGAGGTGGCGTTCCGACGAGCGTGTGAACCCTGGCCGACCGACTGCCGAAGATGTGTCCTTGATGGGCTTTCATGTCCTTTCGTAGGCTCAGATCGGCTCCAATTCCTATTTCGCTTCTTTAGACGGGAGTGGGTGCTATTGGGTAAAAAATTGGATTGTACATTTTTGGGGAGGAAGGATGAAGAAAGCGGAAGGTGTATGCGGAGCCGGTTCGTGTTTGATGGAATTTTTAGTTCGGTCTTGGGTTTCGGAGCTTTCACATCCGGCCACTGGTGGAAATTTGTGTAACATGAATCAGAAGATCTGGTTTAGGAAGATCATAACAATAATGATAATGATTAAAATAATAATGAAGTTTTATCTAATAAATTTACAGAACTTAACACATTTCTATATCATTGGAGCAAATTCTTGCAATAAGAAACCTATTTTTTCTTTTACAGCTAAATTACTTGTTGATGATGAGTGCGCCGGTAATAGGCTGTCTTGTCCAGAAAAATCCAAATGTCGGCCATTGTCCTGCCGGGGTTATCGTTGTGCTTGTGATGAAGGGTACATGCGTGTCAACAATAATACAAAATGTATCAAAGGTAAAAAGAAAAACAAATATTTATTTCTCCTAATTTCTGTCGTTGTAACCACACGACATTTTGTTTATTTTGTTTCTCTGTAAGGCCTTCCCCCACACCACTCTCTCTCTCTCTCTCTCTCTCTTCTCTCTCTCTCTCTCTCTTTCTCTGTATATCTGTCTGTCTGTCTCTCTCTCTCTTTCTCTCTATTTATTTCTCAATTTCTGTCTCTACGTCATTTCTACCTCACTGTTTTTCATTCTCTCTTTCTCTCTCTCTCTCTATTTCATTCTCTATCACTATCCCTCTAATCTATCTCATTCTTTCTTTCCCTCTCTCTGTTTGTCCCACTTTCTTTCTCGTTCTTCTCTCTCGTCTATTTCTCACTTTCTGAATCTATGTCATTTCTCCCGTCTATCTATTTCTCTGTCTCTCTGTTTTTCTTTTTCTCTCTTTGTCTCTATCACTCTCTCTCTCTCTCTCTTCCATTTTTCTTTTTCTCTCTACCCTTCCCTCTCTCTTTCTCTTTCACAGATATTTTTTATTTCTCAATTTCTGTTCTTATGCCCTTTCTCTTTAGCTATATGTCTCTTTGCCTCTCTGTTTTCTTCTCTCTCTCTCTTTCTCTCTCTCTCAGAGGGAGAGAGAGACAGACAGACAGACAGACATCTGTATCATATTTTATATCTCTCTCACTCACACTTTTTTCTTTTCCTCTATTTATCTATGTCTGTCCCTTTCTCTCTCTATGTTTATTTCTCAATTTTTATCCCTGTCTTTCCACCCCAGCTATATCTCTCTCTGATTTTATTTCTTTCTTTTTCTCATTCTTTCTCTTTTTCTCTTCCCCTACTCGCTCTCAATACATATATATATATATATATATATATATATATATATATATATATATATATATATATATATATTATCAGCCTCTCTCTCTCTCTCTCTCTCTCTCTTCTTCTTTCAATTTAATTTATGTTCTTATTGCCTCCATTCTAAAATTGCAAAGTACTATTAAGGCACGACCTGGAATTAATGGTTTATTTGTACTCAGTGAATCCATGATAAATCACAGACCATTTTTCAAGCTTGGTAGATATCTAACAACCAAGATAACGGCCCAAACCAAAATTCTTGAAGCAGACAGAGATACTTTTCAAGATAAACCAAAATCCAAATTCTAAATTCTGCCCAGAGATAAACATCCCGACCTTCAAATAATCCAGCCTTTTTATTCAGTGAATCAAGAAATCTGATTTTCACAAAATCAGATGAAAATCCGATTTTCAATCGTAGAAAAAGAGAGAAATCTTCCTTCTCACTCTTAACGGTTTTGTAATTTTGAGATGCAAGAATTTCATCCCCACAATTCCAAAATACCCCCCACACTGGTCTGAAAGTCTTGTCACCCCATCACGGAAAAGTAATGAGAACAATAGAAAAACTAGTAATACACTTATACAAAGCACTGGATTTAGTTTATTCAATTTCATTGACGCTGTCAAACATCGAAAAGGCATGTATGAACATTATCATTTTCCTGGCACAAAATGATGCGACGTGGACCTGGGAACACCAGCAATTAAGAGGTGGTTCCACGCTTCTCAAAACCTCCTGATCAGAGGCCTTGCTGCCGGATGTAGTTTATCGTCTTACCCAGGACGCGGATGTGGTTTATCCTCTTACCTAGGACGCGGATGTAGTTTATCGTCATACCCAGGACGCGGATGTAGTTTATCGTCATACCCAGGACGATCAAAAAGACAGCTTTTCAAGAAGACAGCTTTCAAGTATTAACTTCAGATCTTAGGACGCCCCTCGATCGCACAGTTTGTGGGTTAACTATTTGCCCATAACTGGGACCCAAACAGGTGCTACCACTACGGGTCTGGATGGATCTGGGAATTGCAGCATTTAAGAGATGATTCCACGCTCCTCAAAACCTCCTGATCGGATGGATGTAATTTATCATCTTAACCAGGACGCCCCATTGGAGGGAGATCTTCCCCTTTGCAGAGGGGCAGTCGGCGTATTCTACAGCCTCAGCCGACAGGGCGGGCGCTGTGCATTACATTTTTAACTACACACTATAAAGGTGATTTTATTTCAGAGGTAGAGACAAGAATGTAAGAGCAATGTTCTTGAGGTTTCTTTTTCATTTTGAAATAATTGCTTTGAGACAAAAAAACAAAGATCACAGAGACTTTACATAGAAAAATTTCTTTGTAAGTTGTACAGGGTGGTTCGAAAGTTTTGTCACCCCACCAAAACGTAATGTGAACAGAAGGACAAGTAAATACAATGCACATGCATTGGATTCAGTTTATTCACTTTCCTTGACGCTTTCACACACCGAAAACGTCTTTATGAACATCATCATTTTCGTGTCAGCCATCTGAAATAGGAAATTATATTATCTAAGAATGACAAGACTTTCGAACCATCCTGTTCATAGAAAAGAATACAAGCCAAATGGTTGAGTTAACTGTCCGTAAATCATCCGGTAAGAAGGGAAAAGAGAAAATTTAAAAAAAAATAATAACCCATAATTTTGGTTAATTTACCCACGGTTTTAACGAGCAACATAATTCAGAAAGAGGTGAAAAAGGGGTTGTCAGAAAGGGGTCCTAATTCTGATATTGTCTGAAAGGGGTCGAAAAGGGGTTGTCAGAAAGGGGTCCTAATTCTGATATTGTCTGAAAGGGGTCGAAAAGGGGTTGTCAGAAAGGGGTCATAATTCTGATATTGTCTGAAAGGGGTCGAAAAGAGATTGTCAGAAAGGGGTCATAATTCTGATATTGTCTGAAAGGGGTCGAAAAGGGGTTGCCAGAAAGGGGTCATAATTCTGATATTGTCTGAAAGGGGTCGAAAAGGGGTTGTCAGAAAGGGGTCATAATTCTGATATTGTCTGAAGGGTCGAAAAGGGGTTGCCAGAAAGGGGTCATAATTCTGAGGTGGTCTGAAAGGGGTCGAAAAGGGGTTGTCAGAAAGGGGTCCTAATTCTGAGGTTGTTTGAAGGGGGTTGAAAAGGGGTTGTCAGAAAGGGGTCCTAGTTCTAACGTTGTCTGAAAGGGGTCGAAAAGGGGTTGTCAGAAAGGGGTCATAATTCTGAGGTTGTCTGAAGGGGGTCGAAAAGGAGTTGTCAGAAAGGAGTCATAATCCTGATATTGTCTGAAAGGAGTCAAAAAGAGGTTGTAAGAAAGGGTTCCTAATTCTGAGGTTGTCTGGAAGGGTTCAAAACGGGTTGTCAGAATGAGGTAATAATTTTGAAATTATCGGGAAGGGGTAAAAAATCAGAGATTTTTTGAAAAGGGTTTAAAAAGGGGTTATCGTAAAGGAGTCATAATTTTGAGGTTGTCAGAAAGGGATCAAAGCCTTTATCAAACAGATCAAAGCAAAAGAAATCAATATATAAAGAAAAAAAATGGAAGACTATAAGAAACCAGAAAAATGTTTCTAAAAAGGTGTTTTCCAACTCTAAACATTTTGTCCAACAAAAAAAGGAGCAATAAATTTGCTACATCGTTAATTCCAGATGAAAAACTACTTTACAAAACTGAAAATACATGACTGTATATTTTATTGGATATCAATCACAACGCCGAAAGTTGTAATTAACTAAACGCAGCTCAGGCTCAGTAATAAAGACGAACCAAATAAGCTTGTTATCATTTCTCTCACGCCATGATGTCCATCAATTATCGTTGAACCGGTCGGGTTGCGGCTGCACACGGACAAGAAACAAAGACAATAGACACAACGTTTACTCTTACGCCGCATCAACATACCCAGGCCAGGAGTGACGATTTTACTCTTTGCTACATTTTGATAAAGACCGAAACGTTCACCAGCCTCATTCGAGACAGGTCCGGCAGCATGGGCTTTCTTACTGTGTTTTCGCAACGAATTTGCCTCTAGCCCGAGACATTCTGACCCACTGTTGGGTACATACGCTTACCTGCCGTCCGACAAACTCATCCAAGCTACCGATTAATGATCAAACCCGCACGTCGCGGCCAAGCTAAATAGTTTTCCTTCCTGAATTGTCTTCCAGTCGGTTTCATCGATTTCCGCATTGTTATTCCAAGCAGTTTGTTATCACTTTGCTTTCTTACAGTCATATCAGGTTGGCACGTCGTTTCTCGTACGATCACCGAAGTTAAGCAGATTCAAGCCTAGCCAGTAACTTGCTGGGTGACCGCTTGGAAATGCCAGGTGTTGTAACGGATAACGACTCAGAAATGGAACTCGGCGTTCCGAGTTCTAATTCCAGTCGGGTTCGATACATTCACTTACGCGAAAATACTCCTTGGGTAAATGTATGAATCAACGTCTTCTCCCCTCCCAGCTATGGGTTAAATAGTCGGACTTATATAATTAAATCATTATTATTCCCCCAAAACCTCTTACAATCAAAATATATTTTCTGGTTTTAAATAGCATGCAAAAGATTGATAACCCGTAAAAAACAAATTAATCAAGCTTTGTTGTTTGTACAGACGAATGCGCTCATGCATATCCGACGCCACTTTAAGAGCAATATGTGTCGAATACAAGATGACCTGACGGATGGCATCCCTCTTTATACAAGGTTTGAATTATGAGATGTCTAACACTGGTTACCCTACCAAGGCTAAAGGCATTGTCTACGTTACTATTTCTCTTACAACGCGCGGTAGAAAAATGTCATTCCCAATGTGTTGTGTTTTGTGTCGCCATTTGCTTCAGTTCTTCCAACGTCAGCCCATAAACTGTATCAACAAAGGACGATTTCTTTCTCATATTCCCTTTATTATAAGAGCGAATAATAGCATGGTAGCGTGTTGTCATCGATTCTAGGAAGTAGCAGGAGAAAGATCTTCATGAAAATACCTGGCAACTCATTGGCTTAGCATTCCGCCACGTGCGAGCTAGCTTCTCTGGGAAATCTGGGTGTGTAAAGCGTGTCGACTCTTCAAATTTCTTGACTGTTTTGGTTTTATATCCAGAACTTAAACGAAGGCAATCGATCACCGTAAGAATTTAACGCCCGCGGATCTTCTGGACACTAATTTGTTATCCTTGGCCGGCTTCCGTTTTCTGTAAAAAATAGCGTAGATAAAAAGTGAATGCAAACGGCTACTGCTAGAATTTGAACTCGGCTCCTCAGGTTCCATTTTCTGCTCTGATAATCAGTTTATGCGCTTTTTATACCCATGCTCCTACAATGTAGTCAGTCATACCTCTCCACAGCTTTCCTATTTTCTAATATCTGTGAATTATCATGACTTCTTGTGAAAGATTGTAGGATGGCTTCCCACTTTCAATGATTATTCAGAATTATCCCCTCCTAATTTGGATAGATTCGAGGGCTCAGTCTGCCGTATAGGTGGAGAGAGAAGAAAAGATGGGTTCATGCCTTTACCAAATGTATTAGAGCGAGGTGATCGCTTGCAGAATGTAAACTCGGCTTACCGATTCCATTTTCTGTGACAATGGCATTATCTACCCGTGTACCCTATCTGTTTTTTTGTTTTTTGTTTTTTTATCGATGCGTGGTTCAAATCGATCACCTAAACATCACATTCGATCATCTTTTAAAGTCACTTTTTAGATTTTTTTTTCATCTGCTTAGTAAGAATCGTAAAGTCTAAAGTCATTGGATGCCAAAGTTTAGTGCTAACGAGAAAGCCGGCAAATCTGGAAGAACCATCTGTTTTAAAGAAGCAGTTGGCCTAATGTTGCCCTCCTGTTTAGAGAGGGTGTAATTAAAGCTATCTCTCCTAAGCACGATTTTCTCTAGTACTAGACAATTTTCTAATAGGTCTGCCATTCTTCCTTGATTTAAATATCGTTGTCACATCTGGTCTGACGCTACTGCTATATATTTAGAAAATCTTCATAAAATCCAACGAAGAATCTGCAATGTTATTGGTCGTCACCTGACATCTCGGCTTCACTTAGGTTCCCCGTACCTTTTCTATAAATACTTTCATGGTAATTGTTCTGATGAATTTTCCTCTATGGTACGTAGATTTTATGAACGTAAGCGCAGTACTAGATTGGCGCCAAGGTCTCATCATTTTACTGTTGAAATATCTTGATGTAACAGTAAGGTCGATGCTAACAGTTTCTTTTACCGCTTGGGAAACTCTCTTCTGACTCATTGCTTCTCAGTCAACTTTGATTTTTAAATGCAACGTCAATCGTTATCTTCTCTTTTTAATTCCTCTTCTTTTACTGTTGTCTCTCCTTAATAGTGTTTTTCTCTATTCTTTAACACACAGTAACCCCTTACGTCTTAGTGGCTTTTTTGCCTTACTTAGAGTGAAATGATCTCTAAAAATACTACACTCGAATTAATGTTTGTTTCATTATGGTATATGCACATTCTTTCACTTCACTTACCTTCCACTGTGGTCTTTTGTTTGTGATTTTGCTTTGACTTTATTCCACGTATAGATGAGAGCAGGATATACTTCTTTTTTTTTTCTACACATGATCTGGCATGCCTGATGTTGTTATTTCATTTTGGTCATATATTTCTGATGTTCTTAAATTCGGATCTTTAGGGGGCTGAGATAATAAAAAGGGATTATTTCTTCATTGAATTCACTGTGATTTAATTTGTTTCACTTCAATTTTCAGGTACTGCTCTTGGTCAGAACTGTGGGCCTACCTATCCGCCATGCCTCAACGCCAACGCTGTCTGCCTGAAGAACCTGATTTCTTTATCGCCACCCTACTGCCAGTGTGAAAAGGGTTACATTAACGCTGGTAACCTACAGTGTCTGGTACAGACCGACTACAAAAGGTTCGGTGACTGGTGCGAAAACAAATGTGGACCGACGTTGACGTGCAAGCTAGGGTTTTGTCAGTGCCGGCCCGGCTACCGCCAAAGAACGGCCATAGAAATTCAGGCAGACCCCGCTTATCAACACGACTGCATCGAGAATGAGTTCAGCCTTAGTAAGTTGATGTGTTTTCCACATGGATTTTACAAGTACGCAATGGTAGATATTTGTTATATATTGACAGTTCTGACACAAGTCGATATTTATAGCGTAAGGAAGGAACAAACTCGTCATCTATAGCTTGCGAGATAAACAGGATGACCCAAGTAATTTTTAACGAGATATTCGAATTCTTAAGAAAGGAAAAAAAAACTTCTTAATAGCTTTTCTTATTTTTGTATTGCTATTTCTGTATACTTTACTGACTTTTTAAAAAAATAAATGAATATTTTATTTATTCCAAGTCTGAAAACAAAAATCATCTTCATAATTAATTGGCTTTTCCTTGTAAAGTTTATCTAGACTGATTTCAGATTGATGATAGATTGATTGTCTCTGCTTATTATATGTGGTAAAGAATTTCTTTATGAATTTTCAAAGGCACCTGAAAATTCTTGGATGTCAGGTAATTGTTCAAACGCTTTTTTTACTGCGACCCACAGCAAGAACCAATTTGCATTGCGAACCATTATACCTACGCGTAATAAATCAAAGACAAACTTTGCTCACCTGGTTCGTTATTTGACATCGACAATTTATATGTATATTTCTTATGATCCACACATGTTGGAATTGCATGTATCTATTTGTATGACTATAAAAATATTACTTTAAAAAAAAAACAAATTTAAAAGAAATTCAGTCACTCAGTTCGCAAACAGTTTGACGAACAAGATACATAAACTCAATCTCTCTCTCTCTCTCTCTCTCTCTCTCTATATATATATATATATATATATATATATATATATATAATAATCTTATAAATATGAGAAATTATACTCGTCGGGAAAACCTTGAGTACTTTGATATGTAAACAAACAGACCAATACCCAAGGGGGAAAAAGGGTACAAAAAAAGAAAGAACAGAGAACATGTACGTCAGCCAAAGACAATCGTCTAGAATCCAAGTTCAGAGTCCAAAGAAAAAAAAACCGATACGAGTAAGTAAAATAACTAAGTGCTCAATACGCTAAGTAAAGCGAACCTAATTAAACCTAAAGAGCCAGATAAACCTACCAAGGTTTCACCTACGCGTATCATCAGGGATTCCCTTGGTAGGTTTATCTGGCGCTTTAGTTTTTATTATATATATGTATATATGTATATATATATATATAATACGAGCTTACCTGGCGAAAAACTATCGATGATTTATCAGTGCTGTGCAACACTTAGAGATGTTTATACTCTGCACTTTGTTTTCATTGGCGTATTTTTTTTTCTTTCTTTTTTGTCTCGACCCATTTTATTTATCTCGAGACACACTGGGACGGGACCCACAGTTTGAAAAACACAGACCAATAAGTCAACAATATAAAAAGTATCTTTAGGGCGCCTACTTCAGCGCAATACTTAATGTGAATCAAATAACGGACTCCAACAAGACTTGTGTGTGGAGAGAGAATTTATTTAGCGACCTTCCAACACCACGTGGTGGTAACCAACTGTCCCTACCCCTGTGTTTCCGCCTCAATCGTACCTCACTCATGGAGAAGGAACAAGGGGAACAACTTCACGTTGATTAACAATTCTTCCCCTTTTTTCTTTTCTTTCTTCTTTCAGATGAACATCTGAAAAAGAGATTAAAAAAATTTTGAATTTATTAAACAGATGATTCCTTGGGCTCTGATATAAAGCCAAGGATTTTAAATGATGGTACTCCTTTCTTTGTCAAGGAGTCTGCAACTTGTTCATCAGTTGGTATCCAAGAGAACTCTGCAATTTCCTTTCTGTCCAACATTTCTCTCAAAATGGCCATCTCAATGCGAAGTCTCTTATCCAAAATCTGTGTTGATGAATGTACTGAGTCATAGAGACAGGAATTGTCAGTTTGCATATGATCTTAATGTTCTCAGTTTCATCTTTTAGCTGCAGTAGTTCCAATAATAGTTTTCTGTAAAACAGGCAGGCTTCTGACATGTCAACCATGGCTAGAGTTTCAGCAGCCAGTGTGCTTTTGACCACCCTTCTAATGCGTTTGGATTGCCATGCAATGGGCATGTATTTATTATTATTTCCTACCAAAAAGAGTATGTAGCCTCCTTGTGATCCTCCATCTGTCAAATTAGCGAAAGAAGCATCACTATATGCGACAATTTTTAAATGCTTAAGGTTTCCTAAGTCAGGGATGTCTATCTGTGATTTTTTCTTTTTTGCTTTCTTAACTACTCTATTGGCTTGTTTTATACATTCTACATTTTGTTGTTTTAGAATGGAGCTTAATGCACTAACATCATAACTTAGATCAGGTCTGGTTTGGGTGGCCAGCCAGTTAAGTTGACCAATAACTTGCCTGATTTCAGTAATTTCTGTTGTGGAAATTGTGTCTTTAAGGTTCCTGCCTGCTTCTAACGGAATATATTTTAATTTCTTTACATACTCATTTTGTCCAAGTTTGATATTCTCATTATTCTTTTTTATATCTAATCCTATGTATTGGAACTCAGCAGTTTCTTCGGTTTTAACTGCAAATACATGACGAAGTCTGTCTATAACTCTGCTTTGAAAGATCTCTGACCCTGCAAAGCAAAAATCATCAACATGAGCAGCAATTATACCTTGCAGTTTGTTTCCAAAATGCCATGTAAATATTGCTTGATCATATTTTGAAGCTATTGCTCCTGACTTCATTAATTCTTCCTTGAGTGTTAAGTACCAGGACCTAGAAGCATCAGTCAAGCCATATACACATTTTGAGAGTTTCCAGATATGGCCCTGAGGTACATTGGCTTCTTTAGGAGGATCCAGATAAACCAGTCGATCCAACTGCTTGCTCTGCAGGAATGCTGTCTTTATGTCCATTGATTTACACATCCACTGGTTAGCTGCCATTATTGCCAGTGCTATGCGTAAACCTTCTTTAGAGCATGTGGGAGAATCATTCCTTATGTTGTTAGTGTCTCTATCTTGGAAGCCTCTTGCCACAAGTCTGGCTTTATAGGTTTGTTTGCCATTGGAATTTTTATTTGTGTAAATCCATCTTGTGGAAATTTTGGTTGACCTTGGTCAGGTACTTGGGTGTACACTTTATTTTCAACCCAGCTTTGGAGCTCTTTCTTTCTTGCCTCTTCCAGTTCCAGGTCATCATTAGAGGAGGAAATCATTATATTTTCCTCGTCACAAGAAGTGTGTTCAAGTTCAGTTTCCTCAACCTCACTTGTTTGCCACTCTGATACCCCATGTTCAAAGTCCAGCCAAAAAGGTTCACCCTGTTCCATAACCACATTCATCAAATGCTTGTTTTTGCCTGTTGCTTTGCCTGCCCTACTTATGACATTTAATTTTTTTCCATTCTGGATCTGTGTCATTGCAAGCTTGCATTTAATAGTTTGTCCTGGTTTAGGAAGCTCAATTTTCTTTGGAGTAAAGTCCTGCTTATGTCGTCTATCTCTTGTTTCTACAGTCTGATGTTGCTCGACATTGTTATTTGTGGTTCCCAAATCTTCGTTCATATCAAACTCTTCAGAAATTGGTACTTCTGGAGATTCTTCAAGCCTTTTCTGTGAGGCACTAGATTCCTTGATGCTGTCCTTGGAAGAGCTTCGATATGTCTCAGGGTAGGGTGTTAAGCGAGATGGATGTACCCTTACATATGTGCCACCATGTTTGACAAGCACCTGCTTATGTTCCCACCCTATAACAGTTCCTGGACCAAGCCATCTATCACACAGGTTTCTTTTATAAAGGACGGCATCACCATTTTTGTAGGCTTGTGCTATACTTGTTCTAACTTGGTGACGAAGTGCACGTCTTAGTTTCTCTGAGGACTCACATGCTATGAATTGTTTCCTGGCAGCATGCATAGCATTTAGGTTATCTGCAACAACTTCACTGGTGGAAACACCTTCTAATGCAGGAAGTTTGTCATTTAGAAAGGCAGGTAAGTTGGGATTTTTGCCAAAAACAAGTTGATTGGGACTGTATCCGTGAACACTGTGAAGTGTGTTTTTGGCACTTATGGCCCATGCAAGTGCTACCTCAAAACTACAGTTGGTATCTTCTATGGTTTTCTTTACCATTTCTCCCAATATCCCATTGTGTCTTTCATTTAACCCATTGCTCCAAGGACTTTCAGCAGCAGTGGTACGTACCACAATGTTTAAATTTTGCGCCATATCTCTAAATGACTGGTTATTAAACTCTCTGCCATTGTCAGTGAGGATAAAACCCGGGGTTCCAAAATATACAACCCAGTGCTTAAAGATGGCATTAATAATGTCAGAACTTTCCTTACTAGGAATCCTGACTCCAACACTGTATCTTGTACCATGGTCAATTAGGTGCAGTACCTTGTTGCCGTTAATTTCTTTGATGTCCATGGCAATGCTCTCATTGAAATAGGTTCCCAATGAGAATCCAACAATGGGTCTAGGTTCAGCCCTTTTGTACCTCATGCAAATTTCACATGAATTAGGAAGTTCTTGTAAAATTTTAATAAATTCAGAATCTCTCATTCCAGAATTTCTCACTAAATCACATAGCTTTTTGCTGCTGGGGTGACTGAATTGTCTATGCAACTTTGTGGCAATTTTAATTTTCTCTAGTCTATTTTACTAGCAATTTCTTTAATAAATAAAATTTGCTTGAACTTACCTCGGTCTGGTAGAGGTCTGCTAATAGGGATGTGGTAGTGACCAGATGAAGTACACTGCATTGGGACTTTTTTCTCCCCAGCATGGTAACAGTGTCATTCTCAAAATTGAGGCATGTCCTGGCTCTTTTCATGGAATTTTTACTTAACAGAAGTGGTATGTCAGAGTCCACAACGTCAGTTACGATACTAACTTCAACATCGGCAATGACACACGGTAGAGTGACTGTGTAGATGGATTTGAGCTTGTTTCCATCACCAAACTTATATGTTCTCACTCCGTCTCGAATTTTTATATATTTTTTTTGTTTTTCTGGTATAGTTTCAAGAAAACACTCATACCATTTCTTTCCTCAAACAGTCCCAGAGGCACCAGAATCCAAGACAGCCGAGCCTAGTGTTTCACCCAAAAACGTGTTAGCGCCATCTTCCCCTTTTTGCTGACTCATCAGCACGAGGTTGGAGACGAGTATGTTTTCATTGTCTTCCTTTTTATGCGAAGTATCTTCTGTGTATGGGCATTCGCGAGCCCAGTGGAATTTGCATCCACATGTGAAACATTTAGTGGTGTTTCCTTCAGGTCCTAGTGGGTTTAGATTTTTATCAGTGGAGCGTGTTGAATTTCTGTTACGACCCCTCCTGCCATTACCTCGCCGACCAGAAAAGCGAGTAGTAGTTCTATTTGAACGATTGTAAAATGTCCCACTAGATTGCTCCTCCTGATTATCCATGCTGAAGGCAACATCCATTTCATTTTTCACCACGACTGGAGGAGTGGTGGGTGATGAAGCGTCGCAATATTGTCTATGCAGAATCTTCTTCAATTGTTTAGACATGTCGTTAAGACTAAGTTCCTTAACCGTGGCTTTCACCAGCCGTTCATTCTCTGGGGTGAGATTTGCGCTTTTTAATGCCCTATACGCGAGAACCGGTTCGGGCAGCGATATCTTGTGTTCCTTTAATTTTGCAACGTTACGATCGAAGCAGATAAGAAAATCATCAATTGAATCAGTGCTCTGTCGTGTGTATCGCTCAAATGATTCATACGCTGTAAAAGCCGCCTGGTTTGCGTCTTCCAAGAAAAGTGTGTCCAGTTTTTGGTATAACTTTTCCATGCCATCATCGGCATTTAGGGTGGCAATGTCCAATTCTAGTACAGCTTCCCTGGCCTTTCCTTCCAAGGATAGAAGTACCACTGGGGCACGTCTATGTATCTCCAAGCTGGTGGCAAGTTCCCACACTTGCATTTCTTTTTTCCAAGTATTGTACTTGTCTGTGTTTAAGGCAGGTGGGGAAATAAACTTCGAAGCCATTTTTTTTTTTTTACGATCTGAATGCTCTGCTACCAATGTGAATCAAATAACGGACTCCAACAAGACTTGTGTGTGGAGAGAGAATTTATTTAGCGACCTTCCAACACCACGTGGTGGTAACCAACTGTCCCTACCCCTGTGTTTCCGCCTCAATCGTACCTCACCCATGGAGAAGGAACAAGGGGAACAACTTCACGTTGATTAACACTTAACAAACTCATTTCGTTGACTAATTCAATAGTGCTGTAAATTTGACCTTCACTGGGTGACCCAATAATATGTCTTTGAGCAAAATTAGATTTAATTTAGTAAATAATGAGAAAATCACTTTTACTTTAAACCAGTTCAAATCTTGTAACTTTTGTCACGTATTGCATAAACTTGTAAGGCCGTTGGACCCCCACATGTACTGCAAATGTATCTAGGGCAAGTTAAGCTGATGAAACCCATACCTCTTTCGGCCGGTTTTGAATTCAGAGTTTTCCTTCATCTAGACTGATTACCATCCACTGCTATAGAGCTCAGTCTGCGCTGTTAATAACTCCTTTCTGAGGAGAGAGAGAGAGAGAGAGAGAGAGGAGTTCATGCATCTCCATGTGTATTTGGGCTGAAGCGGCGACTGGAATTTGAACTCGACTCACCTATCCCATGTTCCACGCCGACAACCACCATACTACTCACCCGTCTCGTTTGTAACTCTGACTGCTTCAATATGTGTGAGTTGTAAATATCAATTCCACTCACAAGCGTTCTTGCTAAGCTTCTGCGAGATTGAGAAACTTGATTTTTAGGTATGTCCGTGAGATCGCTGGAAAATGAGCATAGCATGATAAAAACGGCCCTAAACTTGACGAAACCAAAATTTTATCATCAAAATGTTTATGTTACTATTAAGAGGAAAGAACAAAGTATTTTTTAATTATTTTTAAAAAATTTTCTGTCTTTATTAGAACATTCTAACTTTCGATTGCAAAACCTTGTTTCTCATCATCACCGGAACTCTAGTAAATAACATGACGAATTTTTTGTGCATTATTTTTATGACAGATATTAATTTTGAAAGTCTTGCAAAAATAGAAATAATTGTCAGATTTTAATGAAACTTTCAGAAACTATTCAAGAATAATGGAAATTATTATAAATATGTTATTTTTTTGAAGTCATGATAAAAAAATATTTTTTATATATATATATATATATATATATATATATATATATATATATATATATATATATAACCCCCAAATAATTTAATGAAAACTCTAGAAATTCAATGTCGAAGCACGCAAGTCATTGTATTAGTTAAAAACACAAGGCTTTGAAGAAAGTAAATCATGTTTTGTTTTTTTTTAAATCGGACCTCATCTACCTAAAATCAGCTCTGAATTGTAACATACAAAACTCAATAAGACAAGGATATTATTGAATTTCGGATGCTTTTATTTACTTTTATTTGTTTTTATGAATATGCATATTGTCTGTTGGCAAATACCGTTTTCGATGAAAAATGAATTTTGAAATGAATTAATTGTTATTTCGTAAATTATTTTATTATTTTTACATTAAAGTTGTTAAATATTGTAAAATTAGTGGTAATGTCAAATCCTTTACTTAATGGCTTTTTTAAGTACATGTATCTGTACAGATTATAAATTGCACAAGCTTTTTACAATCCACGAGCCACCAGTTAGAAAAATCTTCCTGTTCCTTGCCTTTGTATCAATAAAAACGGATATAATTCAAATGTAAAGAAGCCCAGAAGAAGCATGATGCAATAAAAAAATCACGTGACTTGATTTTGTATATAAATGTTGTTCGGCACTGTTTAACGGCTTTTACATTTACGATTGGCGAAACACGTGGAGTAGTTTTACTTTAAAAAAAATTTGAACTTTATATCATCCTATATGCGATCAAGTAGCAGCAGAAATTTTTGAAAAATAAGTAAAAATAACTAGGTAAATAAGTTGTTCACATAAAGCTAAACTGTCACTTGTGACCTTCCGTACTATAACTTTTCCTCACGTACGATTTCAGTGCGTGATGTAATGACGCACATGTCACTTGTCAATCAACAAGTAATGTTTGTTACAAAATATATTAAATAAACTTTATAATTTCTAATTTGCTTAATTTAATTAAAAAAAAAATCATAATTGATTTTTTAAAAGAATTTTAAACAGACTTTTACTTTTGTAAACAAAAGTTAAAAAAGAATGGCTGACGATCGATTTTCTGTCAATTTTGCTGATTCAAAAAAATACAAGATTTTTAACGAAAATTTTGAACCTGCTAGAAATTATAATGTAAAAAATAATCAAAAAATCCTTTGAGCTTTCCTCTTGATAATAACATAAACATTTAGACGATAAAAATTGTTTTCATCAAATTTAAGGCCTTTTTTATTCATGCTATGCTATTTTTTATGGATCTCATGAACATACCTAATTTAAATGTTTTTGGCTTATTATTATGAATGCCTTTGCTATTACTGACACTACTAATGTTACTATTTTTCAGCCAAGTGTAGAGGGACAGAGGTTCTATTGCTGGCTGGAATAAATACTAATTCCTTCTCAAATGAAATTCAGAAGTCGTCTACAGGCTTCAATGAAAATTATACAGATACAATGCCGACTATCGATCACAGTCGAGAATTGGAAACCTGGACGACTCAATATAATTTAACAACATCGAATCCTGACAATCAATCTTCTGATATAACTATGCCGACTTCCACAGAGACATCCACGTTATCAATGCCCATCTCAATAAAGGTAATCTCTACGTCAACAGCGAGCCCTGCGAAAATTCAAACGACCACGATGGCGACCACTCTTGAAATAACAATTTCTCCGTCGGCAAGTTCTCCGTCAAGCGATGGTCAGTCGATCACGGATATATTGATAAACAAATCTACTTTAACGTCACCGGCTGCAATAAAAACGACAAAGCTAAAAGAATTCTTAACTGCTATCCCAGTCAATCATGATACAACAACCAATCGTATTCAAGGAAAATCACATTGCCAACCAAACCACAAAACAGTGTCTCATCATCACAGACTTCAAGGACACGGCTGTCAGTGAAAACACAAGTCCCAACTACAATTATCAACATGATCACCTCTTCAGACGAAACCTCACAGTCAACGCCCACACAGTCAACAGAGCGAGTGAGTTTACCAAAACTAAATACAATTCTTGTCCAGGTACCGACTTCCAGCCCAACTACCACTAGACCAACAACAGATTCCCAAAGCCAGAAAACTATGAAGACCACACACTGGAGTCTATCTTCTGTCGCCATTGAGAATAGCACCTCACTACCTACAATAACCAGGCAATCGAAAAACTCCACCACTAAAAAACTGTCAACAGCAACAAACGCTTCTACGACTCATGTCCTACAAATCTCCGAGGTTACTACTGACACCGCAGAGCAAAATATTACAGCGACACCTGTCAATGAAAGTGATCTTACACCGGCCACCCAGACGGATGTCCAACCCCAGCCAAACTCAGAAAACCGAATTTCAACAGGTAAGGGATCAATTTCACACCAACTTGACTCTGTCTCTCCCCTTTCTTTCTCTCTTCCTCTCCTCTCTCTTTCTTTCACTCTATCCCCCGTTTCTCTTACTCTTACGATTCCCAAACCTTGCAGCATCAACGTATCGTAAGATTTCGGTTGAACATTGCCTTGAAATCATGCGCATGTGTGTTCGCATTATTTATCGCATAAAATAAATTTCCTATTATAATTTGGCACAGTGGAGAGTCAGTGAATAGATGTGTTCCAGTGCGTGGGTATTTATTAACTGCCCAAATCCTACTTCCTACTTCTCATGTTCCAAACACTTACTATTTATCTCATCTCTAAAATAATTCCTCTCACGATTCCAGCCTGTCGATTCGAAACAATAAATTATTTCTTTTATGGGAGTAAAACAAACTGAAAATATCTCTGAAGTTTCTTTTTTATTACCAAAGTGAATGAGAAGGAAAAATTCCAATTTTTTTTAACTAAAAAAAGTGGAGGTATCTGTGAGAGGTGAGTACCTTCGTACTTTTGTACACTTTCTTAATTGTTTTCTTGAATTTCTTATTTCAAACTAGCAGCATGGCCCGGCGTTGCCCGTGCTTGATTCAAAAATCGTACGACTCACACAGCAATCGCTATCACTTGACTTAAAATATTTTTGCCCTTCCTTGCCTTTAAAGGAGTGCCCTTTGCCGTGCTGATGTTGTTATATGCCTTACTTCTTGCCTCTCTCACACTGCGAATTTTTTTCTAAGCTCTATACTAAACATTAAATCTGTTGCGAAAAAAGAACTAAACAAAATGAACACAAAACGATCAGCTTTAAAAAAAGGACTCGTAACTGGAAAAACCGAATGAAAAAAGAATGTTAACAACAAATACTTTTTCACACCCAACCCAGTTCTGCGGAATCAGAATCAACGTTGAGTTTAAGCAAGCGAATGAGCCAATTGGAGTAAAGTGCCATGCAGATTTAAATTTTTCCCACTTGTGACGAATGCAGCTATCGATTTTTTTGCATGCTAGCATACTAGTTAACATTCGTGTCAGTCAGCTGTTGGCTCTCACGCTGGCCAATAGAATCTTCCTGCCTATTCGTGGCAGCCAGCTATTGCCTCTTACTCTGGCCAGTAGAAAATGGCCGCAAACTACATGAAAACTGCCGTAGAAGAATGAAAAAATCGATTATATCCACTATCGATGGGAGTTGGGAAATGCAAAGTCGGTCTTGGCCTTTCCACTAACTAGGAGCGTGTGCATGTAAATTTTGGTGCAAATCTGTCAAAAATTGCGGCCATGCATTCGTTACACACACACACACACACATACACACACACACATCCTGCCTTTTATAGATATAGATTTTTGCCACTTAATTATTTCAATACTTTTTAAAGATTTATCTTGAATGCAAGTATTAAATAATTTTTTAATACAATAATAGTGATTTTATAATTGCATAAAATGTGTTTCTCTGCAATAAATTCGTCAACTGGGTGTCTCGCCATAGAGGAATGAGTGACACGTTAGCAGAATATTACAACTGAGTCGTGAGTTCGATCCTCACTGTGTGCCTCGCACATGTGGCTGTTCACAAAATAATCTGATTAAAAACGCATAAAAGTTTTTTTTTAAAATTATTACAAAATTAGCATTACTGTTTGCATTAAAGGTATTTATTAAGTTTATTTTAGTCTGACACAAGGCTAATTTTATGGCCACGAAACTGGGGTAGAACTCGATATATTTGCAAATACCTGAGATTTATTTGCTTATCGCTGCTGTATGGCAAGGCATCTATTGAGATTTATTAAGTCTGCTTTAATAAATCCCAATCGATGAAAGAGATTATCTTCGTCTGGCCCAAGGCCGCCTGCTGAGAGACACCCAGTGGTGGTCGAATATGCTATAGTAGCAACGATCTCCGATCACTTGCTAACCACTGTTCTTGTTTATAGAATATAAAATTGTATGTATATCTAAGTGTATCTATATGTATTGTATTTATCTTTGTGTGCATGTGCCTGTGTGTTTGTCTATGTGAGAGTGTGTATGCGCGTATGTGTATGTATAGTTACGTATGCGCGCGTACATGCATGCGTATGTCTGCGTGTATGTGTGTAAGCGCTTGCGTGTGTTTGTGTGCATGTCTGTGCGTGTGTGCAAGTGTGTGTGTTCGTCTTTTAAATCAAAATTTGGTCTAATGACCCCAGTTAAAACCCGTAATTGATATAACAATATATATATATATATATATATATATATATATATATATATATATATATATTGTGTATATTTAGGCAGCAATTTTCCATTAATGCATATTTCATTAAATAATATAGACAAGTTTTGTATATTTATTTTAAGTAAGTTCCTTTCATATTGTCTGATAAGCTTAATAACATTATCATTGAAGCACGAAAGGAAATCACCATATTGATATATGTTTAAATCCAATCTAAGCTTTCGGCTTACATAAGCCATTATCATAGATGACAATTACTTTTCAATATATCAACCAATACACGGAAAAATAATGATAGTCTGTTTTTGTTGCGTGAAAAATTTCAAAGCAACGACTAACACGTGTATACGAGACGCGGAAGCGAAAATCACATCGCAGCTCATGACGTCACACATGACCACACGAGAGTGAAAACGAGAATATTAAGTATGGGAAGCCGTTGGTATATATATATATATATATATATATATATATATTATAAAACGCAGATTGTGCGTGTGTGTGTGTGTGTGTGTGTCTGTATGTTTATATATTGGATCGGATTTCCTACATTTTTCAACTGATTTCAACAAAACTTCACAGGACTGCGTAAAATTACCTTGCGGTGGTTCTGACAGCGCCAAAAATTAGAAAAACACAATTGTTTTTGCATGAAATCAATTTGAAAACACGAAGAGGCATCGCGAGAATGAAAGGGGGAAAACTCATATCAAGTTATACTTATTATAAAACCCAGGTTGTTTGTGTGTGTGTGTTCCTTTATATATGGGATCGGATTTCCTACATTTTTCAACCGATTTCAACAAAACTTCACTTTTTTTGGCAGGTAGTGTTTCTTATTGTCTTGCACACTTTTTTCTTTATTTTTACATTCAGAATGCCTTAAAAATTCCATTTACAAGACAATTGTTTATAATAAAATTCTATTCAATCGGTAGAAACTCATAACGATTGAAAACAATGTTTTTGTTTGAGTTTGAGTTTGACTAATTCGTAAAAAAAAAACAAAAAAACAAACTAATTAAGACATGCGTGTCCGTCAACCTTAAACAATAATCTTTGTCAATTTTATTTTTCAGTCTTTATGATGGTCGATACTTGATCTATCTCTTACTGTTACATCCCCGGGCAACGCCGGGATCTACTGCTAGTATATATATATATATATATATATATATATATATATATATATATATATATGTGTGTGTGTGTGTGTGTGTGTGTGTGTGTGTGTGTGTGTATGTATGTATGTATCTGTAAAACTTTCTCCATTGTTTAAATTCTTACCAATTTCAATGAATAAAGCATTTGTAAGAACGTAAAAGAAAATATCACTTAACTTCTGCTAAACAAAATTCACAGCCTGCCACCGACATACACTTTGTGAATAATCATTTTATTTAGTCGTCATTTAATGTTATTTATGTTTAATTATAAATATCTAACCGTTGAATTCCAATTTCGTTTTCATTTGTTCAACAGAAGCGATCGTCATCCCATCAGTTCTTGTCATTGTCTTGACTATTATCATCATTTCAATCATTGCTGTTATTGTCTGCAGAAAAAGAAGGTAAGTCATCTACACACCTTTGTGCAAATTAATTTAATGACCTAGTTCACATGTTAGTACTTCAGTATCTGTCTATATTTCTGAGATGAAGTATTATGTACACTATTTACATTATTCGGACTATTGTCCTCATCTTTGTCGCCATATTTATTACTCACTTCGGCCGTTGTATGCTCCTGTCTTCTTCAGATGGTTGGAATGTCAAACTGAACCCTTTATTTCGCTCACTGGAGTAGACTGTTCTAGTTACACGTGCCATGTTTAATGGATGTCAGTTATCTCCTGTTAATTCCCCTCTCCAAGTTCTCCACTGCCTTAACCAGGTATTGAACTCACACTTTTTGGGTCCTGTCACTGGATCTAACTAACGCCTTTATCCACTGTGCCATGTGCCGACTAACATCCATTAAACATGGAACTAGAACATTCTACCCCAGTGAGCGAAATAAAGGGTTCAGTTCGACATTCCAACTACCTGGTGAAGGCCGGAGCGTACAACGGCCGAAACGTTGTAATAAACATGGCGACAAAGATGAGGACAATAGTCCGAATAATGTAAATAATATTAGTACGTCGTATGTCAGGAGAGTTTTCCGGGCCAACCTATAGTATTTTAATTTTCTCACTGGTATTCTGGTTAATAAACGCCTATTTTAATGGCCTCTACCTTTCTGATAGGTTGATAACTAAAACAATTGTTGCTTTTAGTTTATTTGTATTATAAATCATCACAGCTACAAAATTTATTATTAATAATTATCAGAAAGATTGTCATTAAATATGTTAGTGATATACATATATATAAATTCTAAAAATAATAACATTTGACAGTAAGTCGATGGATACTGACAAATTAATGGTACACAGCATAGAAATACACTAGCGCACATATAAACATGTAGTTCTTTTCAAGAATTCCCAGCAGACTTCTGAAATGAACGCAAGATATTGTTAGAGATTTTATCTCCGTTATACAAACATTAAAGTTTACTTTATAAATACTAAAATAGAACAATTATGATAATACAGTTTAAAATAAAATAAAATTTATATAACACCTTATGCAAATTTATATTTTATTTATATAAATCCTTATGCAAATTTATATTCTATTTATATAAAACCTTATGAAAATTAATTGAAACAAGACGAATAGGTCAATAGTCTCTTAAGGCACGTAGCCTCCCAATCAAGAGAACCGACCATTTTTCCTGCTTCTTAAGCGATGGATCCTATGTACGAGTTCCACTTGAGGTCAGAAGTGAGTTTAAGGCCCAATAGTCTCTTAAGGCACGTAGCCTCTCAATCAAGAGAACCGGTCATT